CTAGAACATGTACTTAGTAAACATATTGGCCTGCTCAGGTTGCCATAACAAAATACCACAGACTAGGTGGCTTAAACCAGGAGTCTCCAAACTCCGGGCCACGGACTGGTACCAGTCTGTGGCCTGTTAAGGACTGGGCTGCACAATAGGAGGTGAGTAGCAGGCGGGTGAGCAAAGCTTCATCTGTATTTACAGCTGCTCCCCATCTTTCATTTTACCACCTGAGCTCCATCTTCTGTCATATCAGCAGTGGCATTAGATTCTCATAGGAACACGAATCCTATTGTGAACTGTGTATACAAGGGTTCTAGGCTGCGTGCTCCTTATGGAAATCTAATCCCTGATGATCTGAGGTAAAGCTGAGGCAGTGATGCTAGTGCTGGGGAGTGGCTGCAAATTCAGATTAATATTAGCAGTGAGGTTTGACTGCACAGAGGCCAGGATAAATCAATTGCTTACAGACTCATATCAAAATCCTATCAATGAGTGGCAAGTGAGTTGATGGACTTCAGTTGTACAGCTGTGTCTGGTGGCCTAATTATTGCGTAATTATGTGTAATATATAATTATATTGTATAATTATGTATGGCTATTTCATTATATATTATATTACATATTTATTATATACAAACATATTTATATTATATATCATATGTTTACATTATATTTCATTATGTTTATTATATATAAATATATATTTCATTATATATTACAATGTAATAATAAAAGAAATAAAGTGCACAATAAATGTAATGCACTTGAATCATCCCAAAACCATCTCCCCCACCCCACCCCAGTCCATGGAAAAATTGTCCACAAAATCGGTCCCTGATGCCAAAAAGTTGAGGATCACTGGCTTAAACAACAGAAGTTTAGTTTCTCATCGTTCTAAAGTTTAGAAGTTCATGATCAAAGTGCCAGCAGAGTTGATTTCTCATTAGGCCTCTCCTCCGTAGATGGCTGCCTTCTCACTGTGTCCTTACACGATCACTCCTAGGTCTGTGTGTTCTATATGTGTCCTAATGGTCCCTTCGTATAAAGTCAAATTGAATTAGGGTTCACACTATTCACCTCAGATGACCTTAATGTCCTTTTTAATGTCCTATCTTCAAATAGAGTCACATTCAGAGGTATTGGGGGTTAAGATTTCAACATATGAATTTGGGGGGGACACAGTTCAGCCCATAACTTGAAGTTAGAGGTGCTGAAACAAGAAACACCGTACTGAAAGAAAAATCATGTCACGATGAGCATCAATTCATGATACAATATCCTCAACTGGCAGTACTCAAGACTTTAGGGAAGTGCCCATAAGAGTTGTCCAAATTCACCAAACCTGTTTTTTCCTTCTTTATCTCCTAGACTAAATAAGAAAAAAAATCATATTGTAATCTTTATCTCCTAGACTAAATAAGAAAAAAATCATATTGTAGTATTTTTATTAGCATTCAATGATAATATACTTATACATTTTCATATTTTTGTATTTGATTCCTGAGTTTTTAAATGCTTAAGCACATGGTGCATTTTTCGTTATCATTATGTTTTTGCTTCCAAGCTTAATTGCACTGCGGTTAGATAATGTGTCCTGTATGAAAATAATTATTTTTAATTATGTTAAATGTGTTGAGGATTGTTTTATGGCTTAAATTTATTCAAATTTTATAACTGTCCCATGTGTATTTGGAAAAAAAAAGTATCCTCTCACTGATGATCATTAAATCTATCTTATTAATTTTGTTACCAAATTTTTCTTTTTTTTTGAGTTGGAGTCTCACTCTGTCGCCCAGACTGGAGTGCAGT